TCACTTGAGGTCAGGACTTTGAGACCAGTCTGGCCCATATGGTAAAACCCCATTTCTACTAAACATACAAAAATTAGCCGAGCATGGTGGCACATGCCTTAATCCCAGCTACTCAGGAGGCTGAGGCAGGAGAATCACTTGAACCTGGGAGGCGGAGGTTGCTGTGAGCCGAGATCGTGCCATTGCACTCCAGCCTGGGCAATAAGAGTGAAACTCCATCTTTAAAAAAAAAAAAAATTGTAACACCCGCTCCCCCCTGCCAACTCGCTAGTTCGCTTTATTTTTTATTTATTTATTTTTTGTTTTGTTTTGTTGCCACTCTTGTTACCCAGGTTGGAGTGCAATGGCACAATCTCAGCTCACTGCAACCTCTTCCTCCCAGGTTCAAACAAGCAACTGGGATTACAGGCGACCACCACCACGCCCAGCTAATTTTGTATTTTTGGTAGAGACGGAGTTTCACCACATTGGCCAGGCTGGTCTCGAACTCCTGACCTCAGGTGATCCACCCCCCGTGGTCTCTTAAAGTGCTGGGATTGCAGGTGTGAGCCACTGTGCCTGGCCTCTTTATTTTCATTTGCAGCACTTACTGCTATTGGGCATGCATTTATTTTATGTATGTTCACCGCCTGTGAGGGCAGGCATGGCTGGTTGTGCCTGGGTCAGAGTATGGGCATCATCAATATTGATTGGGTGAATGAATATTCAAGTGAGTGGATGAATGAATGGCCGAAACCAGGGTCTGCCCTAGAAGAGGCACTCAGTAAAAACTTTCTGGCCGGGCGCGGTGGCTCACGCCTGTAATCCCAGTACTTTGGGAGGTTGAGGTGGGCGGATCACTTGAGGTCAGGAGTTGGAAATCAGCCTGGCCAACATGGTGAAACACTGTCTCTACTAAAAATACAAAAAAATTTAGCTATGCCGGGCACCATGGCTCACGCCTGTAATCCCAGCACTTTGGGAGGCCAAGGCAGGCGGATCACCTGAGATCAGGAGTTCAAGACCAGCCTGGTCAACATGGCAAAACCCTGTCTCTACTAAAGTACAAAAAAATCAGCCAGCCGTGGTGGTGTGCACCTGTAGTCCCAGATACTTGGGAGGGTGAGGCATGAGAATCGCTTGAACCCAGGAGGCTGAGGTTACAGTGACCTGAGATTGCGCCACTGCACTCCAGCCTCGGTGACAGAGCATCTCAAAAACAAAAAAAATTAGCTGGACCTGGTGGCAGAGGCCTGTAATCCCAGCTACTTGGGAAGCTGAGGTAGGAGAGTTGCTTGAACCTGGGAGGCAGAGGTTGCAGTGAGCCAAGATCGCGCCACTGCACTCCAGCCTGGGTGACAGAGCAAGACTCCGTCTCAACAACAACAACAACAAAAAACAAAATAAACTTGTCGAGTGAATGAATGAGCGGATGGAACAGTGCCTAACATACAACAGGTGCTTTATAAGTACTTAGTAATAAATGGCCAGAATGGTGCATACTGGCACACAGCAGGCACTCAATAAATACTTAGAAATGAATGACTGGTCAGAATGGTGCATGGTGGCACACAGTAGGTGCTCAATAAATACTGAGTGAAAGGTCAGAACAATAGCTAGCACAAAGTAGGCACTTAATAAATAGGAATGAATGGGGCCCAGCATACAGCAGGTGCCCAATAAATACTTAGTAATGAGTGATTAAACAGAATGGTACCTGGTACACAGCAGCCACTCAATAAATAGTAATGAGTAAGCAGGCAGAATGCAGTAGGTGCTCAATAGTTGCACATGGCCTGCGTGAATGTGCATGGAATGGAGGCTATGAAGCAGGAGGTGGGGCAGGGAGACCTTCTGCCCAGATCCAACCCCCTGTCCCTGCTTCTCCCATCAGTCCCCGGAGGCCAGCTCCCTGCACAGCCTGGAGAGACAGGTAGGTGGGAAGGTGGGGAGGAGCCGGCCTCCCCCTGCCCAGCCTTTCCTGCCAGAGGCAGCTGAGCGTCCACTGCTGCTCACAGGTGCAAGAGCTGCAGCAGCTGCTGGTGGAGAGACAGGAGGAGAAGGAGAGCCTGGGACGGGAGGTGGAGAGTTTGCAGAGCCGGCTGTCCCTGCTGGAGGTAGGAGCAGTGATGAGTCGGGGCTGGGCTGGGGCTGGGGCTGGGTGGGGGAACTTCTCTCCTGCAGCAGTGAAAAGACAGCCACACCAGTGCACGCACAGCCTCACACACATGCAAACGCACCCACCAGACACATGCACTCACAAACCCATAGTCACAGCCGGGCGCAGTGGCTCATGCCTGTAATCCCAGCACTTTGGGAGGCCGAGGCAGGTGGATCACGAGGTCAGGAGATCGAGACCAACCTTCTTTCCTTCCTTCCTTCTTTCCTTCCTCCTTCCTTCCTTACTTTTTTTTTTTTTTTTTTTTTTTTGACAGAGTTTTGCTATGTCACCCAGGCTGGGGTGCAATGGTGTGATCTCGGCTCATGGCAACCTCTGCCTC